CAATATCCCCCGGCCAGCCCCACTGCTCCCAACCCCCCCCCGCCAGCCCTGCTTTCTGCCATGTATACCCCAAATTAAATAAAAAGCAAAGCAGATAAGTTTCACTGTGACTAAACAGCAGAATAAAAGAGGCAGTTAGAGGCAAAAAGGTATCCTATAGAAATTAGAGGTCAGATTCTAGTGAGTAAAATAGAAAGGAGGATAAACTGTGGCTAGTCAAGTATAGAAATACAATAAAGCAGGCCAAGAAAGAAATTGAAGAACAACTAGTGAAGACATAAAACAGGATTTTTTTAATACAGCAGAAGACTGCAGAATTTAATGGGGATAAATTCCATCTTTGGTGATTTGAGTTAAAATAATAATACATTCCTCTTCTTGTTGCACTTGTATTTGTGTAACATCTCTTTTGTCTTTTTAGATTAAGAAGAATGGCTGCTGTCGTATCTAGATTAACACAAGATGAAGTAAAGCAACTGCAAAATCTGTTGGGAAGCAGACACTTCACTCTTCTTTATAAGGGAAGCATACATGGCTATAATGCTTCTGTATTTCATGCCAAGTGTGATGCCCAAGGGCCAACTTTAGCTGTAGCATATAATGGAAGTGGTTATATTTTTGGAGGCTTTACATGTAAGAGCTTTAGTTCATCTGGAGTGTACATAAATGATGAGAAGGCTTTCCTCTTTAGATTAAAAGAGAAAGATGGTGTGCTCAGCCCATTGAAAATTCCTGTTAAGGCTTCAACAGGTGCTGTATATGATCATAGTTCTAATGGCCCTAATTTTGGAGGTGGAGCACTACAGTTGCTGGTCCAAAATACGGCAACAGCAGCAACAAGTTCCAACAACACCTACACATACAATGTTGCTGATTTGCATGGAAATGATGTAGGCCTTATAGAATGTGAGGTGTATCGAGTTGAAGGTAAGTTGATGTCAAAAGAGAAAATGTATGCTGAGGAAATTATAGCTGTGTACTTTTAATGTTACATGTTGCTTTCCCCCTAGATATTAGCAGTTTCCTGGAATCTCCATGGAGAAAGATTACATGGACAACTGAGTAAGTTAACTGTTGTAATCTATCACTGCAGTGATCTGTAGCCACCAAATGCTGTGGTGATGTGAGCTACTTAAGGAAATAACTACATGTTGTTAGAGTAGACAGACTTGTATTATATGAGATACTTATCTTAGGTATTAATAAGGCACCTATAACCATAGTGTCTGAGCAGTTCACAATCCGGGGATAAGTCCAAAATGATGATTTCAGAACAGGTCAAACTTGAATGGGTGATGAATGTCTGAACCAAACTAAGATACATGAAGAGCTACACTTACTCTTAGCCACACTAAGTCTGCTTTGGCAGAGACTTAAAATGATATTCCAGAGGCAGCAGTGCAGGGGAGAGAGTAGAAGAGGTGGCACCCACCTGCCGCACTGTGCTGCTGCTTCTGATACAGAGGCAGCAGTGTATGTGGGGGGCATAGGCAAGTGGGAGGGCTGTTTACAACAGTGCAGGTTAATCAATGAGCCCAGACTCATTGGTTAACTATGTACACATTTACACTTTCACTTCCCTATTACAGACCATGATTAAGAAGGTAGTTACTTATCTGGGCAATTCCCAGAGTGGCATACTTATAGCGTGGCAAATAGGGTATGTCTACACTACCCTCCTAGTTCGAACTAGGAGGGTAGTGTAGACATACCCCACTTGCAAATGAAGCCCGGGATTTGAATTTCCTGGGCTTCATTTGCATAAGCGGGGAG